TCTTGCCTCATTAACCACAGGCAGAGATTAGGATTTACAACACATAGGAAAATCATATCAGATGACAAAATGGTGGACAATCATACGGTACTGGGAATCATGGCCTAACCAAGTTGACACATATTTTTGGGAGACACAATTCAATCCATGATACCAGGCCTTTTCTCCGAGGCACCTCAGGGTTGACTCGAACCACCAACCTTTCAGTTGGTAGCTGAGCGCATTAACGTCTCAAGACTGGGAGCCGGAATTCACCGTGGTGGCACCTTCCTTTTCTCTCATTTAAAGAGCCTTTAATACCTGCTGCAGCACGCCTGTCCCAAGCTGCCCCCAGGCACCGCTGTCCTGAACAGGAAATGCTGGCTGTCTTCAAAGGAGTGTGGACCCTTGCCAGGGACTCGGTCCCCCCACGCAGAGGCTGTTGAGGGAGTGGTTCCAGAAATCAGCTTCACAACTTGGATGGAGGGATTGAAAGTAAAATTTCCCACGGCTCTCCTGGAGCCCGCTGCCCGCAGACTCTGTCTTAGCCTCACCAGCCTGGGCACAGGGACTGTCCTCTTGCCACACTGAGGGACGGTGGGCTGGACTCTGCCTTTCCCTGTGCTGAGCCCAGCAGAAGAGGCAGGTGGATGCCTGGGAGTTTGGTTCCAGCAAAGGCTGTGGGAATATTGCACCCTCAAGGCTGTAATTTGAGAGTGCCAACCCCACACCAACTCCACTGCCTTCCAGAAAGGATCCCTGCCTTGCTGAAGAAACTCCACCCCCAGACACCTGTCACTGTGCAATGTTACAGGGGAGAGGGGTCATGACTTCATAATTTCTCTAAATCACCAAGGGACTTTCCATTTCCTCTCCCCGCCCAGCCCGGGCTGGTGCCACACCTCTGAGTGGGGATTACTAAGCTATTTCGATTTCTTTGCAAAGGGCAACATGAAGAGGCAGGTGGGCAGAGCCCAGGGACCCGGGGCAGATTTCAGGTGCCTCCTCATTGCGCCTTTTTGCTGTTATCTTCAGGGTCTGCCTGCTGTCTGGTCACGCTGGATGTAACTCTTCCCCTGACTCATAAGGCAGTTCTAAGGGATTCATGTGCTTCGTCTCAAGGGAGGAAGAGGCCTGGAGTTATCTTGGAGAGGACAGTTAGGGGGTCAATGGTGGTTCAGTGGTAGAATTCTCGTCTTCTGTGCAGGAGACCCAAGTTCAATTCCTGGCCAGTGTACCTCATGCACATTTACCACCTGTCTGTCAGTGGAGGCTTACGTGTTGCTGTGATGCTGAGCGGATTTCATCAGCACTTCCAGACTAAGACCAGGAAGAAAGGCCTGGCGATCTACTTCTGAAAACCCTAAGGAGCACAATGGTCTGATCCCACTGTGCATGGGGTTGCCATAAGTCAGGGGATGACGGCAGCCAACAACAGAGGGTAGTTACCTAAGCTGCAGGTGAGGGAAGTCCCTACGCTCGGGGTCCAGATGGTTCCTTTTTGAGAGTGATGCACAATTCTTCTCGAAGTGGTCCCTGCGCTGTCTTCTCTGGAAAGATGCTGACAGTGCAGCTCATTTCCCTCCTGGCACAAGTGTGACAGTGCTCTCTCCCCTGTCCTCTGCCACTCCCCAGCGTGGAGTCGCTCTCTCAGACAGCTCAGCTCCCCTTGATCCCGCGTGCCACCTCCCCGCCACTGCTGTGCGCCCAGCCTCTCAAGCCTGGTTCCCTCATCACACGCGAGAACTCCTTCCTCACCATCCACGTCCCTGGCACATCCTGTTTGAATTTCTGCCAAACTTGAGCATAACTTCCTTTATGAGAGAGAAGGATGTGGTCGCCTGCTGGTACCCCTGCCCCCTTTGCATCCGCAGGCGTGGTGTAAGGGTGACCTACTTCCGGAATGACGGATCCCTAATAGGTATTACCTCACACCAGCGGTGCTCTTCGTACTAGGTGTGAGGAGGGAATTTGGGGGTGCTGGTGAGTAGATGTGAGAGAAAGATGTGTCAGTCTGCTTCTGTAAAGATTACAGCCTTGGAAACCCTGTGGGGCAGTCCTACTCTGTTCTACAGGATCACATTGAGTCGGAATCGACTGGATGGCAATGGGTTTGGTTTGATTTTGGTTTGGTGAGTAGGTGGAATTGGCAGTTTTATCTTGTCCGAGTGTCCAGAGATCTGAGACTATTGAAAACCATTGCCCCAGATAATCCAAAAAACCAAACCAGTTGCTGCCGGGCTGATTCCGACTCATGGCGACCCCAAGTGTTTAAGAGTAGAGCTCCACAGGGTTTTCAATGGCTAATTTTTCGAAAGTAGATTGCCAGGCCTTTCTTCTGAGGCACCTGCGAGTGGATAACCAAGGTGGTTGTTGTTGTTAGGTGCCGCTGAGCCACTTCTGATTCATAACGACCCTGTGTGACAGAGTAGAACTCTCCCACAGGGTTTTCAAGGCTGTGAAGCAGATTCCCAGGCCTTTTTTCCAAGGCACCTCTGGGTGGGTTCAAACCTCCAACCTTACAGTTAGTAGTCCTGTGCTTAACCATTTGTGCCACCTGGGAACTCTAGCCCCAGCCGATAAACCCAAAACCAAACTCATCAAGTCAAGTTGATTCCCACTCATAGCGACCCTATAGGACAGAGTAGAACCGCCCTACAGGGTTTCCAAGGCTGTAAATCTTTACAGAAGCAGACTACCGCATCTTTCTCCATAGAGCGGTAGGTTCAAACCACTGACCTTGCAGTTAGCAGCTGACTGCTTAACCACCGTGCCACCAGGGCTCCCTCCCCAGCTGACAGCCAGTGACAACCTGGAGTCTGTTTTGCTGGGAGCAGATCCTTTAAGCCTCAGCGGGGTGGGAGCTGTGTCTTCTGGACCAGATCCTAAAGGAGGGTGGGAGGAGGGGTGGGAGGGCTCTTACCTGGCCCTTTATGCACCTGCCTATCCCTGTCCTATCCTGTGACACCACTGTAAGCGTGTGGGTCTCTTGGGTCCTGAAATCGAGGAGGGTAGGGGGCAGCGTCCCCATCGTTTGGGGCAGAGCAAGGCCACTCGCCCACTTCCTCACGCATCTCCTGTGTGTGCCAGGGGCCTCCTACACGAAGGGGGACATGGAGGGGAAAACAGGAGTCAGAGATAGTGACATGGTCACCTGAGGGGGCTTTGGGTAACCCTTCATGGGGGTGCAGGTGGGGAGGGGGTCGTTGAGCTGCTCTCTCATCGGCTCATTTAGGAAACATTCACCAAGCACGTGCTATGTGCATGCTGGGGTGGAACCCCAACTCTGAGCCCACCCCTGAGGGGCCCACAGTGTGCAGTGCAGGGTGGAACCCCCACACTGAGCCCACCCCTGAGGGGTCCATGCTGTGCAGTGC